ACCCTTCTACCCTTGCTAAGGCCATTTCAGGTTTACCTGGAATTTGATCTCTTTGTTGGAGAATCCCAAGAAAAATTATTGAACTCTATTCTAGGAACCTGAGGCAGAGATGCCCCAGCTGACTTAAGCTCAACTTCTGTTAAACTGCCTGATCTGCAAACCTCCACCTCTGGCTAACTGCTTATGTTAGCTTCTGTTAAACTGCTTCCTTAAGCAAAACCTGTCCCTGAAGCTGCACTGTAGAGTAAGACACAGTATGTAGTTTTTGTCTTTAAAAGTTCCTTACTATAAATGCTCAGGGCTAAACTTAAGTCCTGAATACCTGAGTATAGTCTCAGCTGGTTGGAATAAAAACTTTCAGTTGTCTATAAATCGTGTTTCAGTGGACATCTCCCAGTGGAACAACACTTGTTGTTCCAAAGACATGTATTCAAATTCATATTTCACCTCCCTCCCTTCTTCCTTCCCTTCCTCTTTCTTTCAGGCCTCCTCCACTCTTCCCTGTATTCCTTACCCCCTTTTCTTTCTGGCTTTTATCAAAAGATGTTTGAAAGAGCCAACGCCATTATTTTGTACTGACATTAAAATTTTACTCTCAAAGAAATAAATCAGCATGGTTTGTCAGAGATGAGACAGAATGTGAAATGTTATCAAGCAGAATATGGGTCTTTTAAACTTTTCTGCTTGATTTAACAAACAATTCTTCAAATTCTGACATAAACTTAAGGGAAATAGAGAACAAAATGACAGACCAGTATGTCCAAAACCAACATACTGGCTATAAATAATAAGACTTTGAAAAGTCATGGAAATAATTGAATCTATATTTTTTTACCCTCTCCAGTGATTTCCTGTGTGAGTGACAGCTACACCATTGGGGAACCACACATATTCACAAAATAAGGAACAGAATCTCTACTGGCCTTGTCAGGACTTTCCCAGAAGATGCCAGTCTAACTGAACATAAAATGCCATTGAACTGTGTCTGAATTCTGGAAGAAGTGTGTAGATTTCTTTCTATTTAGGAAACCAAGATTCAACATTTATCAATTCAACATTTATATTTTAGTTTAAAATAAATGCATTATCTTTTTTTCGAAATCCTATCCTCTGCTATAGTGTAGGCACACTGTCAATTTCTTACTTCCATAAGATGAAGGGCCACACTAGACACTATCCCAAGGGTAAAATGAAGCTTATGAGAACATGGTTAAGAAAATTAACTATGCATTCCCTCTGTGAACAAAGAAATGTTCGTGGATATTGACAAATATTCACAGATGTTTACGGCAGAGCAGGAGATACCACTGAGGTTTACTTTCAAACACCTTATCGACTGAATCTGATAAGAAGAAAACATATCAAAATTGAAGTGGGTGATAAAATGAAGATGGATCAGAATTTTTGTAGTAATTTATTTTTGTTTCAAAACACATCTTTTGGAAGATTTATAAATTACAGATTTTTCAAGATATTTTCTCAAATGTGGTATTTTTCAGGGTGAAAATTCAGGAGATTGGCATTGTATTACATCGATGTATTTGTCCCACTTTTGCTTTAAGAAAAATTAAATTTGTCCTGCTATTTAGACTTAGCAAAGGAAGTAACTGATACTATGAAAAATGTTTAATTATTTGATTTAGTACCCAATTTAGGTTTATACTTACAGGGAGGGACCTGTGACTCATGGACCACGAACATTGTCCTGCCAAGGATAATGAGGAATAAAACCACATGCAAAAGCATAAGCTGCCATAAAGCATGACCTGTGTGTGTGTGTGTGTGTGTGTGTGTGTGTGTGTGTGTGTGATCTAAAAAAAATTTCCATTATATGGTTGTTATGCTTGAACTTTGTAGATAACAGTAGTGTGTTTCAATGTCAAAAGGTTGGACATGGGATGATGGCTCATTTAGTAAATTACACACATGTGAATGTTGACTTGAGTTCCACTCCAAAAACCCATGACTTTGTGAAAGTTTGAAGACCAGAATTTGATCCTAGAACCTATGTGAGAAACAGGTAGACATGGTAGCCACTGTAGTCTCAGCACTCAAAAGACTGAGACAGGAGATTTCTAGGGCAAACTGGCTAGGCAGTCTAGCCAGAACTGATGAACTCCAGGTTCACTGAGAGATCTCAATTCAATAAATAAAGAGAAAAGTGATTGGGGAAGACACATGATGTCCACTTTCAGGGCCCCTCATGTACATATACATGTGAATGTGCACCCACATACATCCAACCATACACATATGAATACAAACACATAGACAGATATGTGCACACACACACACACACACACACACACACACACACACACACATGATAAAGCCTAAATAAACACAAAGTTTGCAGCAGTAATGAAGGCCTAGAATCTCAGCACTGGAGAGGCAGACAGGATAATCACCAGTCTATCTGAATCAGTAAGGCCCAGGCCCAGTAGGAGACCTGATCTTAAAAATAAGGTACAGAGTCACAGAAAAAGCTACTAGTGTCAACCTCTGGCCTCTACTTATATTTCACATCAAGGTTTGGTCATGATGGGCAGCATAGGCTTTTGGAAACATGCTTTTTGTTTTATGCATGTTGTTATCTAATATACATAAAGCATAGGATTTTAAAATTTGTATTATTCACATTTTGTGATTTTTCCAGCATCCCCTAAAATACCAGGTATAATAAAGTCCAATTCTCATATGAATTCTCTCCCAAACATAGAAATCCACAGGGAAATGTCGAATCAAAACACCTATAAGGCATGTGTATAGCATTGTTACAGGAATACCTTCAGACTTTTCATCTATACGTAGAAATGATCACCTAGAATGACAGTAGCAGGATTTGCTGAGGAGAGCACAGGATGAGTCAGAGAACAGAGCCACACAGAACCTATGTAAGGAAAATGGAGGCACAAATCTTAAATGATGAACTGCATTCTGAAGACTCCCCTTGCAGAGGACTGTCCACACTGGAGAATAAATAGAAGTGTGTAATGAAAATGGCCAGATGACTAGTTATATAAGACTCCAGGTCCCAAACCACTAGTATGGTCAAGGAGACTGGCATTAGACTCCTTTTTAATAACACTTAAAGGAAGGAAATAACAGTCAGTCAGTCTGTTGGAGTTACAAGCCAACACAAATGCAAGTTAATACTCAAATTGCTATGATCTACCAATGCTCTCCTTCAAGCATTGAGGTTACAGAAGAACAGTGTTTTTAATTTGCCACTTCTCTATTGCTATGATAAAATAGCATGACCAAGGCATCTTATAGTAATAATAGTTTATTCAGCCTCATGGTTCTAGAGGGATAATAATTCATTATGGTGGGGAAGAAACAGATATGGCAGTTGGAGTATCAAGCTTAAATCTTGAACCGACAAACCAAAGAGAGACTGAGCTAGAAATAACCTGAGTCTTTAAACTCTAAAAAGCTCACCCTCCATGACATACTTAATCCAGCATGTTCATACCCCTAAATTTACTCAAACAATACCACCAACTGGGGATTAAATATTCATGTGCCTGAGGCTATGGTACGTATTGTTATTCAAACCACTACCCTGTTGAATAAGATAGTGTTCTGAAACAACCTTGCAACAAGTTTTATCTTATTAAGTTATGTTGGGGAAACTGAGGAGGTCTATGTGAATACTGCTTATATATTATTAGAAATTTAAGATGAAAACAAAAGTGAGTAATATAAAAATGTTCCATAACTGACAGACTAGAAAATATCACCGAGAAAAAGAAAGGGCAGAGGGTTGGGAGAAAAAACATAAGACAGACTAAATTTGGGTGACTTGTTGGTAAGATACAGCAGTCTAATGATATAATTCAAACTACTAAATCAAGTAGGATGTTTAGGAACACAATGACAAAGTCAAAGAAATATACTATTAACTAAAATTGTATGATGGGAAGGGCAGAAAAAGAACTTGAGCTAATTTTCTTCTTGCTCTAAGTAAGGAATCAAAATTCATTGTGTGATGAGGGCAATGAAAGGAACAAATCTATAAATTCAACAAACTATATAATTGCAGATATATGGCATCCAATAAACTATTTCATAATGAAAACTATTAGAAAAGTAAAAATGCTACCAAATATAAAAAGAAATATATATAGACTGAAATAACCAACACTAACACAATAAAATGGAATAGATCAACAAACAATGCTATCATTATGAAAAACAATCGATTTTATCAATAAACATGCATTCCCACTAGAACTACAATCGAATAAAAGGGAAGTATAACTTCTTAATGAGTATCAGCAAAACAAGCACCAAATGGATGGAATGATACAACTGAAACAAATCTTAAAATTTAGTTCAAAATGCAGCAACAAAAGGGAAAGATTCATGTGTCATAAACCAAGGGACAGAAGACTGAGTTGGAAAAATCACTAAATGGAGAAAACAAAACATCCTCTAACAGCAAGAACTATCTTATTTTAAAGTTATAAAGTTATTTATATGAAGTATTACATCTTTTTAAAGAATCTTTTATGGGTTTATTGGTCCATTATCTTAACTGAGGTAATTTTTTTAAATTTATAATCTAATAGTTAATCAAGCAATACAAATTCTCTGTTTACTTCAAATGAAACATTACTTCTAATACTTAATGTTTAAAAACAATCTAAATGTTTTTCAGTAAAGTATTGATAAAGTGGTCAGCATAGTGGAGCACACCTTTAATCTCAGTACTATGGAAGCAGATACAGTCTGGGGACAACCTAGATTACATATTGAGTTTAGGAGGCATTCAGAGCTACATAGCATGACCTTGTCCCCCAAATTAGGCATTGGTAAAATACATCATGGCATAATTGAGACATATGACTGTCAAAGTAGATGATAAATTCTGTGGAGGGTCAAAGATTAACATCAGCTATGGCTATCTGATATAAAGTAGTGATGTTTCCTATATGAGAACCGACTCAGGCAGCAGAAGAATATAACAACTTTATGGGATATGGCCTTGTACTTACGGTTTACAGATTTGACTGGTAATATTGGGTTTATCCTCTCTGGGGAGGCAGCATTGTCTTCATCTGTCACATACTCAAAATTAATGATGAACATCATAGCCACACCTTCTTGGTTCTTCACTGGGATTATGTGAGTGTTACAAATGAAAGTGGAACCTAAGGAGAGGAAACAATGAATGTTAGATCAAAAATATACCTTCTGTGTGAACTACCAGTAATAATAAAATTGAAATATATTCCTATAAACATCTATCTTAAATGACTACTCACATTCAATAAAAAATTTAACTTTTACATAATTTATTGTACATCTATTTACTTTATATACACATATAAAGAGTTTACAGTGTAATTCAGTTACTACATTGTGGAAAAATACAATATCAAATCCTACATTAATTTTAATAATATAGAAAAATATTTTTGACTTCTAGAAACACTATTATCCATGCACTACTTATTTGTATTAAATCTACGTCTATGAGAAATATACTTGTGTAAAGATATTCATTTTATATCACTGTGATTTTGGAATCAAAAGTTATAACATTTTTCTTAATTTCTTGGACACAGTAAATTGCTGTATGTCTTACATGTGCTGCAATAAATGAGAAAAATACATAGCATTCAAATGATAATGCTTTTATTTGTTTTAATTTGTTAGGAAATGGGAAAATGTCTATGTTATTGTGTAGGGAGACACCCTAGCCCCGCCCCAGGTAACCCGGACAGGTGTGCCGGGAGACGCCCGTGAGGGCAGGGTGAGGGGAAGTCTGAGATGATGTAGAAGGAGGTTCAAAAAGAGCGGGGCTCACGTGGAAAGCCCCTTCTCTCTGGTCTCCCTGTCTTGCTTGCTGGTGTATCTAAGTAAAGAAAGCTTAACTCTATTGGCTGCGTTCTGATCACTCTTCACGTGGCGATTTTTTTCCATATTGCCATTAGCTACCACTGTTGATCCACCTTCACAATCTTTGCCATTCATGATCTATGAACTGAGAAGCTGAATTTCTCTAAACTACTAGCCTTCTGTCTGATCCCTTGGAGTTGATAACTAGTAATACTCAAACAGTTCTGGAAATCACTCTTATCTTCTGATAAGATAATAGCTGCTCTATTGTCAAAGTGAGAGTAATCTCATAAGCTATGGGTTTGTTTCAGTCAATTGTAAATGAAAAAACTTCAGAAAGCAATCCTGATCTCTTAGATGATAATGTGTTTTTCCGATTATTCCCATTTTTAAAGATTGGTTGAGATCTTGAGGAGAACTGTTTCAGTGACAAAGTCAGAGGGATGTATGAAGGTTGACAAGAGATTTAGGGGAACTGTGAGAAAATGATGGACATCTGGAAATGAGGGACAAAGGTGTGGACAGATAGCAGAAGGTTTGAACCAAGAGCCCCAGCATCTTTAAGAACCACAGGATGCTGACATTCCAAAGTGGCCTTGCAAATTCTATTGTAAGCAAAACAAGGAGTGAAGAAAGCCCCTTCCTTCCTGCAGAGTCCCGTATCATGGCTCATGCTACCAGAGCTGAGAACATAAGCTGTTTCTGATACTGCTATAAATGGAGGCTGAAGGGCTTTGGGAGATGAGACTGGACAGCTATTTGCCATGTGTTAAATTGTTCCAATGTTTTTTAATTTCTACAGAGCTGAGTTACAAATACCCGTTAGAGCACACACTCCTCATATCTTAGAGATACCGAAGTATTAGTCATAATTTACTTTCTAAATACTGATGGCCTTCCAAATTTGAAATGGAACAGACCCTAATGTAACATCAAATGTATATAATAGTAGTCCACACTTTACAGATGCTAAAACCATGCTTTAAGAATGATTTCTTTCACCTCCAGTCTTCAGCTGTGTCTTCAATTCATCTAATAAAATAGTTAGCTAGAGCTCTTGTCGAAGTTTCCATGGTAACAAACAGGCCAACTTTAGTAAACACAAAATAAGCAATTTAAGAGTGCTCCATTAAAACTAAATATAGCAGTGCCATGGGCCAGGCATCACAATGCATGCTGGTTAAACAGACTCTGAAGAGTTGTGAGAAATAGCCATTATGTACTTTCCTAATGAATCAAAAATACATATTGATTTTGCCACTTAAAATGACATTTCCTACACCATTTAGAATATAATTGTGAATTCATAGATTTGTTATTTAGCTGTTTCATATCTTTCAACATTTGAGGTATACTGCTGATTGTGAAGCAGAAACATAAAATAGGTCTTTGAGAAATCAATAAATAAAAGATGCAAGCATGGAGATCTAATAGGCTTGCAACAGAACAGAGTTGTTTTGCATTGGCTAATAAAAGGAAAATCATGCCCTTCCATACAAATGCTTGAAATTTACTGTCAGGTACTGAAAAGAATATAATTATTGTTCCCCAGGAAAACAGTTCTATGCATGTATATCAGCTCCACACCTCATTATATACATATAATTAATATGAGATTTGTTGCTTATGATTGCTACCTACATGCTTTCATTAAGTAATATATCCTTTTTACAATCAACTGAAGGCTCACACTTACATGCTTTCCAGTTTTAGGTTGGGGGATTGACATAGCCATCAATCTTGTGTAGCCTCTGGAAGGCACCCAGTGAAATCGGAGACATAGAATATAGAGGAGGAGCATATATGGAATGTATTTTAGCTTGTGTAATTGTACAACTTCCAAACACTGTTGGCTTACTGGTTATGTAAAGCAACATTTCTGTCAGAGTTATCATTCTGTGATTGTTAATATGTTTTCCTGAATGAAATGGGAGGCAAAAGGATCAGAAACATAATCCATGAAGCTCTATCTTAACAATGAAGAAAAGACTTATTCAATGATATTTAAATATCATTAAATCGAGAAAAATTAAAACCTTGTTAAAGTGCATCATGTATTCAAATGAAATTAATAGTGTTTGTTAAGAGGCAGAATATTTACAATAACATTATCAATTATTTATACAGTTATGCATGCAATTATGCTGCACTAATACTAGCTAGACTTGGGTTCATTTCCATATTTTGTTTCCTGAATGAAAAACCTCTCCAAAATAGAAAAGGTTATTTAGGAGAAACAGCACTCTTTTTAAATAACTTTTTCAGAATTCAAAATTTTAAACTCTTGCTATTAGTCAAGAAAAGCATGGTAATTTGGATAATATAACAATTACCTCTTTATTCATAAATAAGTGGTTTACACTTACCTGTATTATGAAATGAAATGAAAAGCTATGCTTTTTCTGCATAAACTTCCTTGAATGTATTTTATGTCTCTAATGTGTACTCTCAGGGGTGAATGTATTTTATGTCTCTAATGTGTACTCACAGGGGGTATCCTGTGTACCCAATGAACAACAGGGAAGTCAGAGTACCTCTACCAGTGTGGTGACTACAGAATATGGGATATGGTCAAGGGAATTACAAAATGGCCCACCAGCTGAGAACTTTTCTTTCAGTTAAAAAAGTGAGAGAATTCTCCATAGAGGAATCTAAAATGGCTGAATGACACCTAAGAAAGTGTTCAATATCCTTAGCCATCAGGGAAATGCAATTAAAAACAACTCTGAGATACCATCTTACTCCTGTCAGAATGACTAAAATCAAAATCACTAATGCCAGTTTATGCTGGAAAGGATGTGGAGAAAGGGGATCACTCCTCCACTGCTGGTGGGAGTGCCAACTCGTACGGCCACTTTGGAAATCAGTATGGCCATTCCTCGGGAAAATGGGAATAAGTCTACCATAAGATCCAGCAATTCCATTTTTAGGCATATACCCAAAAGAAGCACATTCATACAAGGACATATGTTCAACGATGCTCATCACAGCATTGTTTGTAATAGCCAGAACCTGGAAGCAACCTAGATGCTCCTCAACTGAATAATGGATAGAGAAAATTTGGTACATCTACACAATGGAGTACTACTCAGTGGATAAAAACAATGGAATCTTGAAATTCACAGGCAAATGGATAGAACTATAGGAAACCATTCTGAGTGAGGTAATCCAGGTGCAAAAAGACAAAAAATGGTATGTTCTCACTCATATGTGGATTTTAGATCTAGAGGAAAGGAATAGCAGCCTATAATCCACAACACCAGAGAAGCTAGGAAACAAGAAAGACCTTAAGAGAGACATACATGGTCCCCTGGAGAAGGGGAAAGGGACAAGATCTCCTAAGCTAATTGGGAACATGGGGGGAGGGGAGATGGACTTAGAAGAAAGAGAAGGGGAGAAGGGAAGGGTAGAGGAGGACATGAGGGAACAGGAAGATCTAGTCAGGGGAAGAATAGAGGAGAGCAAGAAAAGAGATACCATCATAGAGGGAGCCATTATAGGATTAAAGAGAATTCTGACACTAGGGAAGTGTCCAGAGATCTACAAGGTTGACCTCAACTAACATTCTAAGCAACAGTGGAGAGGCTACCTTAAATGACCTTCTCTGATAATGAGATTGATGACCACCTTCTATGCCATCCTAGTGTCTTCATCAAGTAGCTGATGGAAGCAGAAGCCGACACCCACAGCTGAGTGCTGAGCTGAATTCTGGAATCCAGTTGCAGAGAAGGAGGAGTGATGAGCAAAGGGGTCAAGGCCAGGCTGGAGAAACCCACAGGGACAGCTGATCTGAACAAGGGCTTGCTCATGGACCCCAGACTGATAGCTGGGAAACCAGCATAGGACTTTTCCAGACCCCCTGAGGTTTGGAGGTGTGGACAATCTATAGGGTCATTGGTAGTGGATTAGTATTTACCCCTAGTACACAAGTAGATGTTGGGAGCCCTCTCCACATAGAGGGATACTCTCTCAACCTAGACACACTGGGAGGGTCTAGGCCCTGCTCCAAATGGTATGACTGACTTTGATGATCCCCATGGAAGGCCTCCCCTCCCTGGGGCGCAGAAAGCCGTTGGGACAGGGGGGTCAGTCGGAGGCAGGGGAGGATAGGAGGGAGAGGGAACTGAGATTGACATGGAAAAGACGCTTGCTTCTAATTTAAATAAATGAATAAAAAACTGCCAGGCAATTACATGCAAAGATGGCTGTCATTTGATTTAAAACTATCACTCTTATATATATGCAAACAATAGCTTGTTGAGAAGGCCAGAAAGGAAGTAAAGAAGTAGGAAAATACCGTAAGAAAACT